TCATAGGTCTCTGGATAACGAATTGCGCCACCTTAGACAACTGGGCTACCCGTACTCCGTTACTCACATTTAAGACCACCGAACAATATTCGACCCGTGAAGATCCGGGGTAGAATAGGTCTTCAGCAATCCATGCTTGCCGTAAAAGGCGACTATCCTTGTTGGGTGGTCGGGTCTTCAGGCTCGCTGTCTTGGTGGATGCATGTCATCATATCCCAATTGTATGGATGATGCTCATAATGTCAATCACGAGATTGTCTGGTCGAGACCCCTATTATTTACAGACCGCCGTCATATAGCTGTAATATTGCTGAGTGCAGCGTTAAACGAGAAACAAACATTATATATTCATATAATTGATCTTTAATGCATGTTTCTAAGATGCCTTCAAAATATATTTATTAATGATATGTACGTATATTTATATCCAGCGAACCGATATGACGATGAAGATGATGATTAGTGCACTCTTGGTTACGTGTGCCATTACCCTGTCTTCCTCGCAAAATCTTACCAACGACGACATCACCAGCATCTGCAAGGCAGTCACGGAACAGGGCAATTGTTCGTCCTGTAACTGGTGTTCTGTGAGGAAAGACGGCTTTCCCTTGACAGTGAAAGAGCTGTGCCGAGTAGATAATTGGAGCCTGGCTCTTTCAGATTTCCCATGTTCGAACATCACGACCTTCTATAGCCAGTCTTGTTCTGCGGGCACCTTGCCATGGGCACATACGGTCGTGTGTCCCATTGCTGAGTCGGCTACTTCCTGCTTTGTAACAAGTAAGTATTATTTATTTATTTTAAAAAAACCATATTATATATATTTGTTTTATTTAAGTACCTTATACATGAGAAAATCTGAAAACTTGCGCATATACTCCGGTGAAAATGTGATTTCATACTTCGATAAATGTAAGAGTAACATCTAGTCTTTATGGACCCGTGAAGATCCGGGTAAAATAGGTCTTAAGCAACCCATGCTTGACGTAAAAGGCAATGTTGTAGTTCTGGTTCGCCTGATGACGAGTGCATGCTGTGGAATATTAGACCAATGTACGTACGCCTCAGTGTTTGCTTGTTTTGTTATTTACGACACTGGAATGCATCTCATACAACACTATGACAGTTACAATGTACGATCCATTTATGGTCAGGAAATGCCGAGAGAAAAATAATCACACGCGGACTGCCATGTTGAATTTTACCGCGGTTTGGCATCCAGGACGTGTCGTATAGGTATGCAACCCGTGAAGATCCGGGGTACAATAGGTATTTATGCTTGCCGTAAAAGACGACTATGCTTGTAAGAGGCGACTAACGGGATCGGGTGGTCAGGCACGCTGACTTGGTTGAAGTATGTTGAGTGGATCGATGCTCATTATGTTAATCACTGGATTGCCTGGTCCAGACTCGATTATTTACAGACCGCCTCCATATAGCTTGAATATTGCTGAGTGCGGCGTTAAACAACAAACAAACAACATCTAATCTTTATGGTGTATTTTATACATACTGGTACGATATTCAGGTTTGTGCATTTTTATCGGTTTTGTAATAAAGGATGACAGGAAGACCGGAAAGGCATAACTTGTGAGTTTAAGGGAAGGATACATATTATCTTTTACTATACGTTTATATACTATAGGTTCCAGTATCTGCTCAAATGCAGTTTCATTTGATTCCCGACCAGTGGATCCGTATGCATTCCAGTTATCATTCTCAGCTCCATGGGGAGTATAACCCAAACTGCCAAGGGGCGCTACACTTGGGTTTCGGATGTATGCACGTATTTGTGTTTCCACCATCTGGTCTTCTACCATTAGTATTAGTATCATATATCATTTTAACAGTAAATAATTACGAAATGAATTAGTTTCACAAATTTAAGCAATTCTAATTGGCAGTGGGAATCTGAAAACCTGTGCATATAATCCGGTGAATGCACAAAATTCGTACTTCGATAAATGTAAGTTTGGACGGAAGAAGGAACTGCGTTCCACTTGACAAGTCACTTGATAAACTCTATATTAGGTCGGTGTCAGGGATTTCCTGTTGTTAAACTTGGACGAAAAGGTTCACAAATACAGACATGAAATAATTATATATTGCAAAATACCAGTGTTTGTTATTTTAGATTTGCATGGAATTTTCGGGTCGTGATAAAGAGCATTCCCTTCTATTGCCTTCTATTGCCCTTGACGCTTGTCGTGTATTCTTGCGAATGTCTCGATGTGGACGTATATCAAAACCATTACTTCTGCAACGAACTTGACAGTAAGTTAATAAAAGCGACATAAACAGACTCCAATTATATACAGAAGATGCCAGGTTTTCGCGAAAAGGTGAGTGTATCCTGCCCCACCTGTATTACCAAGCAACCCACGTTTGCTTAAAAGACGTCTATGCTTGTCGTAAGAAGCGACTTACGGAAACGGGTGGTCAGGCTCGCTGACTTGGTTGATGCATGTCATCGTGTCCCAATTGCGTGGATCGATGCTCATGATGTCGATCACGAGATTGACTGGTGCAGACTTGATTCTTTACAGACAGCTGTCATATAGCTGGAATATTGCTGAGTGCGGCGTTAAGCAACAAACAAACAAACCAAACAGAAACACATGCAAAGGCAAGTCAGTAGTTCACCTGAAACAAAACATTGGGACACATGGTGAAAAGTCAAAACAGGGAATTGCATCAGTCATAACTTCTGGCACTGATGCGTCAAGTATGGAAACGTCCTCCACATGACCAGCATGATTCAATTTTTGAAAACTTTGCAGAGGCCTTCAATGTTGTAACTTGATCAAACAACTTGAGCTAAGATATGGCATAAATTAGTCACACACACACACACACACACACACACACACACACACAGCTGGAAACAAGTTAAGCAGCAGCTGCAGCCCTTCGTTACGATCACGCGGTGTCGCCTAGTACTACGTCACAATCAAATGACATCACTAACATCTCTGCCCCTGCGTTGGTTAGCTTTACATTTTTAACTCCACACACTGGTTATTATTGTTTACAAACTGAAATTGTTGGCAGATTTACTTTGCGTGATACATAGAATCACTCGTGCTTTCTAATCTCAAATGTATGACTGGTTGAAAATGTAAACTTATAGATACAGATACTTTGTATATCCCGACGTTACCTACTGACTAGAACAATGTTTGTTTCTCCACGTGGTCGCATGTGGTAAATCGTGTCGTACGATGCAGTGAGCAAGTAATTGAAAGTGTAGACACACAACTACTGACAAAGAACATTGCCCGTCATAATTGTTTTGCTTAGGGCTAACATAATCAATGCCATCAAACTTGACAAAGTCACAATTCTTATCAGTATCACAACCTAATGCAATATCCACAGGAGAAACAGTGGCAACACACTGAGCAGGTACATTGTCATGTAATTCATGTTACTTTCTAATCATATTGACATGACAAAGCTGTGTCTGTTTACGACGGTCCGGTGTTTGTACAACATAGTCAGTATCACTGACCTTCTGGCAATAACATAGGGACCGTTCTGCCTAGCACGTAATGGTTGACCAGGGATTGGCAAAAACACTAAGACGTTATTGCCAGGACTAAATTTTCTCTTGAGACTTTTTGTCATAATGTAATTTCATTTTGTCCTGGGATTCCTTTAAGTTATCCTCAGCAACTTCACAAGCTTTTGTAAGCCTAGCCCCAAATGATAAGACATACTCTTACAAACTCATTTCAGACCTATCACTGAGCCAATGTTCCTTTAAGTCCACTAATCGTATGGCCAAAGACAAGGTGATAAAAACTAAAACCTAGGGACTCCCTCACAGCAAACAACAACAAATGAATGCCTCTATCCCAACCCTTCTCAGTCTCAAAACAGTAAGTCCTTATCATATTCTTAAGAGTCTACTCTCTCTAAAGCTCCTTGAGATTCAGGGTGATATGCACGAGGCTTAACATGAGTTATGCCTAACTGGTGCATAGCTTGTTGCAAAACACCTAACATGAAAATAGAGCCCTGATCTGACTGTATAATCTTAGCAAACCAACCATGGTGAAGAAATTTATCAAAGCCTTGATTATAACCTGAGCTGTAAGTTTCCCAATGGAAATCGTGTGGAAGCACACATGATAGTAAACATGTATACTGATTTCCTGACTTAGTTTTAGGCAAAGGACCAATACAATCAATGATAACCCTGCTGGAAGGTTCTTCAAAGGCTGGAATGGGTTTAAAAGATGCTACTGGAATTTTCTGATTAGGTTTGCCAACCATTTGACACACATGGCATGTTTTGCAAATTCAGTCACATCATGCCGCAAATTAGGCCAAAATGGGACAGAATGTTGTCACAAGTTTTGTTTATCTGCCAAGGACTTTCATGTGCCAAACTCAAAACATGCTTTCGATATGAATTTGAAAGGACAATTTGATGGACGACCTTCCGTTCATTATCAGCAGGTACATTTGGCGGCCTGCATGTCCTCATCAAAACGCTACCCTTAAAATAATAGCAAAGTGGAACCATGTCAGCTTCTTCTGAAGAGAGTAAGTGCCCTGTTGGCAAGAGCTTTGAGTTATTGGCCCTCCCCCTTTAACTTAACTTACAGCTCCCTACCCAGAACTGGCTCCTCAACAGCCAAACTGTCAGAATGTTTGCACTCTCCCTCCAAGATTTAGACAGGTCAAGTGAATGATTCATAACAGTGCCAGCCAAATCATAACTGGAATCATTCTCAGAGGAACTTTGCTCAGACATAGCACAAGTCACAACACACAAAGGACTTATGCCTTGAATTTCTTTTTCAAGATTTTCGGTACTTTCGGAAGTGCGAGGTTCAAGACAAATAACAGGATCAGGCAAACATCTTCCCATCTTCAGCCATATCTTACAAACTCGTACGCAAAGTTATGTATACTTATAATTTCTACACAATTATGTATTTGTAAATGCCTAAATGTACGACCAAGTAACGTTAATGGTTGTTTTCTTTCAGCGGAGGCTTCTACGACCACGGTAACTACGACCACGGCAACTACAACCACGGTGCCCACAACGACTAAAACAATTCGGTTTCAAGCCGGCGCCCCCGAAACGTTCCGTATGCGACTATTTTCAAATCTTTTTTTTGCGATACCTACTCTGTGCATTTAGAGCTCGTGTTTGATCGTAGATATTCTCTGAAACGTGGACGTGCTCGTGTTTGCCCGGTCATCGATACATCACATTATATGTGAGGTGAGGTGAAATGGGGTCGCGTCCAAAATTATTGCACTTATATAGCGACGTGCACGCACGTGAGTGTGTATGGTTGCTTGTGCTTACCCACTGAGATACTATGCCGCAGTTTAACACGAATACCCCACTCTGCTTCAGTATACTGACTCCGAGCCGACCAGTCCTTGTTTTAGCCCCTTAATGCCGAACGCCAGGCAGGGTAACAAGTACCCTAAACCATCTGTTTTGGTCCGGGCGTCACTTTATATTGGATCACAAAGAGTGCCAGTGTCTTGCTAGAGTGCTAGAGTGTTGTTGCTGTTGCTAAAGTATATAAAACTCGGCGTATTTGGTCTGATGCAATGAAGGTCGTTTTTTAGACAAAAATAATCTGCTTTGTATTGTAGATTGGTAAATGTATTTAACAATAGAACGTGCTTCCTTTCAGAGGTAACTTGATATTAAGTCGCGATCCGGGGAAGAATAGATCTTCAGGAATCAATGCTTGCCGTGAAAGGGTACTGTGTTTGTCGTAAGAGGCGACTAACGGGATCGGGTGTTCAGGCTCGCTGACTTGGTTGATGCATGTCATCGTATCCCAATTGCGTGGATCGATGTTCATGATGTCAATCACGAGATTGTCTGGTCCAGACTTGATTATTTACAGACCGCTGTCATATAGCTGGAATATTGCTGAGTGCGGCGTTAAACAACAAACAAACAAACCAAACAGAAACACATGCAAAGGCAAGTCAGTAGTTCACCTGAAACTACTGATTGGGACACATGGTGAAAAGTCAAAACAGGGAATTGCATCAGTCATAACTTTTGGCACTGATGCGTCAAGTATGGAAACATACTCCATAAGACATACTCCAACTATCACTGAGCCAATGTTCCTTTAAGTCCACTAATTGTATGGCCAAAGACAAGGGAATAAAAACTAAAACCTAGGGACTCCCTCACAGCAAACAACAACAAATGAATGCCTCTATCCCAACCCTTCTCAGTCTCAAAACAGTAAGTCCTTATCATATTCTTAAGAGTCTTCTCTCTCTAAAGCTCCTTGAGATTCGGGGTGATATGCACGAGGCTTAACCTGAGTTATGCCTAACTGGTGCATAGCTTGTTGCAAAACACCTAACATGAAAATAGAGCCCTGATCTGACTGTATAATCTTAGCAAACCAACCATGGTGAAGAAATTTATCAAAGCCTTGATTATAACCTGAGCTGTAAGTTTCCCAATGGAAATCGTGTGGAAGCACACATGATAGTAAACATGTATACTGATTTCCTGACTTAGTTTTAGGCAAAGGACCAATACAATCAATGATAACCCTGCTGGAAGGTTCTTCAAAGGCTGGAATGGGTTTAAAAGATGCTACTGGAATTTTCTGATTAGGTTTGCCAACCATTTGACACACATGGCATGTTTTGCAAATTCAGTCACATCATGCCGCAAATTAGGCCAAAATGGGACAGAATGTTGTCACAAGTTTTGTTTATCTGCCAAGGACTTTCATGTGCCAAACTCAAAACATGCTTTCGATATGAATTTGAAAGGACAATTTGATGGACGACCTTCCGTTCATTATCAGCAGGTACATTTGGCGGCCTGCATGTCCTCATCAAAACGCTACCCTTAAAATAATAGCAAAGTGGAACCATGTCAGCTTCTTCTGAAGAGAGTAAGTGCCCTGTTGGCAAGAGCTTTGAGTTATTGGCCCTCCCCCTTTAACTTAACTTACAGCTCCCTACCCAGAACTGGCTCCTCAACAGCCAAACTGTCAGAATGTTTGCACTCTCCCTCCAAGATTTAGACAGGTCAAGTGAATGATTCATAACAGTGCCAGCCAAATCATAACTGGAATCATTCTCAGAGGAACTTTGCTCAGACATAGCACAAGTCACAACACACAAAGGACTTATGCCTTGAATTTCTTTTTCAAGATTTTCGGTACTTTCGGAAGTGCGAGGTTCAAGACAAATAACAGGATCAGGCAAACATCTTCCCATCTTCAGCCATATCTTACAAACTCGTACGCAAAGTTATGTATACTTATAATTTCTACACAATTATGTATTTGTAAATGCCTAAATGTACGACCAAGTAACGTTAATGGTTGTTTTCTTTCAGCGGAGGCTTCTACGACCACGGTAACTACGACCACGGCAACTACAACCACGGTGCCCACAACGACTAAAACAATTCGGTTTCAAGCCGGCGCCCCCGAAACGTTCCGTATGCGACTATTTTCAAATCTTTTTTTTGCGATACCTACTCTGTGCATTTAGAGCTCGTGTTTGATCGTAGATATTCTCTGAAACGTGGACGTGCTCGTGTTTGCCCGGTCATCGATACATCACATTATATGTGAGGTGAGGTGAAATGGGGTCGCGTCCAAAATTATTGCACTTATATAGCGACGTGCACGCACGTGAGTGTGTATGGTTGCTTGTGCTTACCCACTGAGATACTATGCCGCAGTTTAACACGAATACCCCACTCTGCTTCAGTATACTGACTCCGAGCCGACCAGTCCTTGTTTTAGCCCCTTAATGCCGAACGCCAGGCAGGGTAACAAGTACCCTAAACCATCTGTTTTGGTCCGGGCGTCACTTTATATTGGATCACAAAGAGTGCCAGTGTCTTGCTAGAGTGCTAGAGTGTTGTTGCTGTTGCTAAAGTATATAAAACTCGGCGTATTTGGTCTGATGCAATGAAGGTCGTTTTTTAGACAAAAATAATCTGCTTTGTATTGTAGATTGGTAAATGTATTTAACAATAGAACGTGCTTCCTTTCAGAGGTAACTTGATATTAAGTCGCGATCCGGGGAAGAATAGATCTTCAGGAATCAATGCTTGCCGTGAAAGGGTACTGTGTTTGTCGTAAGAGGCGACTAACGGGATCGGGTGTTCAGGCTCGCTGACTTGGTTGATGCATGTCATCGTATCCCAATTGCGTGGATCGATGTTCATGATGTCAATCACGAGATTGTCTGGTCCAGACTTGATTATTTACAGACCGCTGTCATATAGCTGGAATATTGCTGAGTGCGGCGTTAAACAACAAACAAACAAACCAAACAGAAACACATGCAAAGGCAAGTCAGTAGTTCACCTGAAACTACTGATTGGGACACATGGTGAAAAGTCAAAACAGGGAATTGCATCAGTCATAACTTTTGGCACTGATGCGTCAAGTATGGAAACATACTCCATAAGACACACTCCAACTATCACTGAGCCAATGTTCCTTTAAGTCCACTAATTGTATGGCCAAAGACAAGGGAATAAAAACTAAAACCTAGGGACTCCCTCACAGCAAACAACAACAAATGAATGCCTCTATCCCAACCCTTCTCAGTCTCAAAACAGTAAGTCCTTATCATATTCTTAAGAGTCTTCTCTCTCTAAAGCTCCTTGAGATTCGGGGTGATATGCACGAGGCTTAACCTGAGTTATGCCTAACTGGTGCATAGCTTGTTGCAAAACACCTAACATGAAAATAGAGCCCTGATCTGACTGTATAATCTTAGCAAACCAACCATGGTGAAGAAATTTATCAAAGCCTTGATTATAACCTGAGCTGTAAGTTCCCAATGGAAATCTTGTGGAAGCACACATGATAGTAAACATGTATACTGATTTCCTGACTTAGTTTTAGGCAAAGGACCAATACAATCAATGATAACCCTGCTGGAAGGTTCTTCAAAGGCTGGAATGGGTTTAAAAGATGCTACTGGAATTTTCTGATTAGGTTTGCCAACCATTTGACACACATGGCATGTTTTGCAAATTCAGTCACATCATGCCGCAAATTAGGCCAAAATGGGACAGAATGTTGTCACAAGTTTTGTTTATCTGCCAAAGGACTTTCATGTGCCAAACTCAAAACATGCTTTCGATATGAATTTGAAAGGACAATTTGATGGACGACCTTCCGTTCATTATCAGCAGGTACATTTGGCGGCCTGCATGTCCTCATCAAAACGCTACCCTTAAAATAATAGCAAAGTGGAACCATGTCAGCTTCTTCTGAAGAGAGTAAGTGCCCTGTTGGCAAGAGCTTTGAGTTATTGGCCCTCCCCCTTTAACTTAACTTACAGCTCCCTACCCAGAACTGGTTCCTCAACAGCCAAACTGTCAGAATGTTTGCACTCTCCCTCCAAGATTTAGACAGGTCAAGTGAATGATTCATAACAGTGCCAGCCAAATCATAACTGGAATCATTCTCAGAGGAACTTTGCTCAGACATAGCACAAGTCACAACACACAAAGGACTTATGCCTTGAATTTCTTTTTCAAGATTTTCAGTACTTTCGGAAGTGCGAGGTTCAAGACAAATAACAGGATCAGGCAAACATCTTCCCATCTTCAGCCATATCTTACAAACTCGTACGCAAAGTTATGTATACTTATAATTTCTACACAATTATGTATTTGTAAATGCCTAAATGTACGACCAAGTAACGTTAATGGTTGTTTTCTTTCAGCGGAGGCTACAACCACGGTGCCTACAACGACTGCAACAACCATGCCTTCAATTCCGGGACCAGACGTCGCCCGCAAAACGTTCCGTATGCGACTATTTTCAAATCTTTTTTTGCGCTACCTACTCTGTGCATTTAGAGCTCGTGTTTGATCGTAGATATTCTCTGAAACGTGGACGTGCTCGTGTTTGCCCGGTCATCGATACATCACATTATATGTGAGGTGAGGTGAAATGGGGTCGCGTCCAAAATTATTGCACTTATATAGCGACGTGCACGCACGTGAGTGTGTATGGTTGCTTGTGCTTACCCACTGAGATACTATGCCGCAGTTTAACACGAATACCCCACTCTGCTTCAGTATACTGACTCCGAGCCGACCAGTCCTTGTTTTAGCCCCTTAATGCCGAACGCCAGGCAGGGTAACAAGTACCCTAAACCATCTGTTTTGGTCCGGGCGTCACTTTATATAGGATCACACGGGATAGAATAGATCTTCAGCTTGCCGTGAAAGGCGACTTTGTTTTTTGTTAGAGGCGACTAACGGGATCGGGTGGTCTTGGTTGATGCATGTCATCGTATCCCAGTTACGTGGATCGATGCTCATGATGTCAATCACGAGATTGTCTGGTCCAGACTTGATTATTTACAGACCGCCTTCATATAGCTTGAATATTGCTGAGTGCGGCGTTAAACAACAAACAAACAAAATGATGTTACTGTCAGGAGATTGAAAGTTTAATTTAGTTAAAACTGAGAGTTGTAAAATTGTTTGTACGGTCTTCATTCTCAGGGACCCCTTGCACTCAACGGTGTGTCCGCAACGACATAGTGGCCTCAGTATGCGGTTCTTCAACGCTTGCCGATGAGTGTACCAAGCTCGAGGTTCCCACGTTAGATGGTAAATACACCTGCTGTACAGGTTAATACAGGTATGGAATACACTTCACGTAAAGGTTTATTGTAAGATCCATTTAACAAATTTCGCTTCGTAAATCAGACTTTCTTCACTGTTTTTGTGATTCGACAAAGACGATAGACAATATGGCTCTGATCAGTCTCATGTTCATACTATTCGCACTGCTGACATGTCCTGTCAAGCAACGTATTGGAAAGCAAATTCAGTTAAAGCGTACGGGACATTATTTTAATTTTGGGTTTTGTTGATAGCAGCTTCTCAACTTTCAACATTTCGCCAATGAATTAACTTCATAACCGAACACTACACATGAATGAGAGCGGGTCTGGTAACCACTTTGAATTCAAATACAGTAAACTACGGTTATAACGAACTCAAAAGAACGTATAGTTGGTAATAACCGTAAGATCGTTATAACTATATATATATATATAAACAAATGACGGAGTCTAAAAAATATGTTTGTTATATCGGTCAGTTCGTTATAAGCTCGTCGGTATAATAACAATTAGAGTAAATATTTGAACAAGATATGATATGTAAAGAACAATATAGTTCAAATTACTATGATGGAGTACATCATTTATTAAAATGTAGGTTATTAAAATGTAGAAGACGCGTGAAGATCCAGGGTAGATTAGGTCTTCAGCAACATATGCTTACCGTAAAAGGCGACTGACTATGCACGCGTAAGAGGCGACCGGATCCGCTGGTCAGGTTCGCTTTCTTGGTTGATGCATGTCATCGATCCCAATTGGGTGGATTGATACGACTGATGTAAATCACTGGATTGTCTGGACCAGACTCGATTATTCAAACCGCCGTCATACAGTTGGAATATTGCTGAGTGCGGCGTTAGACAGATTATTCAATACATAATACATAGGCATAATTTGTCACGTGATGTACATGGTTGGATGTTAAATTAAGTTACACAATTCTCATCATGGATCATATCAGGAAGTTTAGCAGTGTTATCCTTTAGTCTCTGCTTAAATGAATATAGAAAAAACTGCGGGTCTCTTGGGAAATTCATGCATTATGAAAAGCCTTATACATAATAGATTTCTCACATCTGAAACCATTTTGTAACACTGATATGGTTATATACCAGGCACCATTCTAAGTAACTTAAGCCAATACTTAACTAACCTTAATTGACTGGCTACAAAAAGATCACTCCGTCCTGTTTCACCAGGAAATCATAAGACCTATACATTTATAGTAAGTGACTACACTCAAAGAAGACGAACAAAAAAACATTTTAATGTTTTGCAACAATACCACCATTTCTAAAAACTACAGCATTGGTTTTATTAAGACTTACTTCAAGACTCCATTCAATCTCATTAAAATCATATCTTAGTTCTCGCTACCGCTAAACAAAGATCTGAGGACATCCCATTACGTGTCACGTCAGACCGACCTTGCGCAAACTTTGACCGACCAATGGAATGACCAATCAGAAGGCAGCTTTACAAACTTGAAACCTGAACTCCAAAAACCATTCTGGAATAGCTAATAGATGGTCTAGATTGTAAGGATCCGTTCGTTAAACCCGTAACTATCTTTCGGAATACCCCATGTTAAAGTTTTCGAGGTTGTATGATTAGAAATCATATTTCGTCACTTTAATAATCTGGTAAGCGACGCTCTGATTGGTCGGATGAAAGGTCGTTCTGACGTGACCCCTAATGGGATGTCTTCAGATCTTTGTTCAGCGGGAGCGAGAACTAAGGTCTGATTTTAATGAGATTGAGACTCCATTTACATCAATCACACTGTAACACATGTAACTGTTTTAGCCACTTGCAACATCTGACAGATGCATATAAACTAGTGTCCAAAAGAAACGATACCAACTTATTTTCAAAATTGTTTTTACTAAGTGAATTGTCAAGTATGAAAACATGCCAATTCGTATTGCACATCCCAAACACAGCATAGTCGATAAAAAATACCGGGAACACGTGATCACTTCCGGGAAAAAACGTAAATTTCGTGAAAGTGACATTTCCCACTCTAGCATGTTCTGCACGTGCAGAAAAACTGTATAAAACGGCTGATCAGACACGTTGATATCAAAGCAACAAAAAGAACACAAGATATGTCACATTTGACAGCCATCGAGAGAGAGAGAGCCGTTGGAATGGTCCAACAAGGAGCGTCACACGTCGACGTCGCCAGAAGGTTGGGCTGCGCACGCATCACTATCACCAGGTTGATGCAGCGGTTACGTCAGACAGGTCAGACGTCAGACAGGCCCAGGAGTGGAAGACCACGAGTAACCACGCCCCGTGAAGATCGTTACATCCGGGTATTACACCTGAGGAACCGCACCGTAACAGCGACGTCCACGGCGGCTACAGCACTGGGACACAGGATCAGTCGACAGACCGTCTACAGGAGACTACGGCAGTATGGTATTCGGCCAAGTCATCCCTACCGCGGACCGCTCCTGACGCCTCGACACCGGAACAACAGACTGATCTTGGCCAGGCGAGTTCGACGTTGGCAACGGCGGGACTGGGCACGTGTTATGTTCTCTGATGAGAGCAGATTCCTCATCTTCAGAAACGATGGACGGCAGCTTGTATACCGACGATTTGGTGAACGTTTGGCGTATCCAACAGGTCCGGCCGTTTGGAGGTGGAGGGTTAATGGTTTGGGGTGGCATATGTGGTGACGTCAAAACGATGCTTGTCGTAATTCGAGGAAACCTGACTGCACAGCGTTATCTTGATGACATCCTACGGCCTGTTGTGGTGCCCTTTATTCAGCAACAGCCTCGTGGATTCCTTTTCCAACATGACAATGCAAGGCCACACACAGCAAGATTGACACAGAACTTCCTTGCCAACGCCAACGTACAGGTTTTGCCATGGCCCGCATGTTCACCGGACATGAATCCCATCGAGCACTTATGGGACCACCTCGATGTCTCCTCGAGGAATGGCAACGCATCACTCCCAACGTCATCAGACGTTTGACGTCATCAGTCCGTAGGCGTGTTCTGGCATGTATTGATGCTCACGGTGGACATACCCGCTACTGACTTGATTTTGAGACGTGTGGTGTGACATTTCCCGTTGTTTCTGTGATCAGTGCTCTAACGAAATGTTCATTTTTCGACCCCACCCATCTTTAAAGGCTTGTCATATTGGTTGTACAGATTTTATTGAAATGAAATTTTTGTACAGATGTTGTGAAAGGATTTCTCAAAAGCATAACACCAATCCTAAACTTCTGCATTGTTTAGTTTTTCTTTTATGTTGTTGCAAACAGGTGGTATCGTTTCTTTTGGACACTAGTGTATGTTTTGCAAAAGTACAAACATTTACCACACCAATTATTTATAAGTAAATACATAACTTTTTTTCCTATTAACATAGTCAAATGGTTTTTTAAAGTCAATAAATCCAAACTAAAAGCGACTTCTGGTTTTGCACAAATAAACTGACGTCCAAAAGCAACTTTTCCAGAGTTTGAAATCACTCTTGCTCAAATGCAACAAAACATACATGCATGAAGTTAAGTGTATTAAGAAGATCAATATATCAACATAATCAACAGTGAAAATGACAATCATACCGCGACCGAGAATGACGTCAGAGCCCCCCAAAGTTGGGTGTGGTTCAAAACTCGTGCTTTCAGAATCATGGACTATAGGCAGAGTACATAAACAATCGCTCTCGTTCAATAACAAGTCATTAGTAGAGTGTGTGAGCACCTAATGCCTCAATACACGCACAAGCTCTTCGACGCACAGAAAAAGTCAGTCGTCTGAACAGGTCACGTGGGATTTGACGCCATTCTTCTTGGAGGGCCAAGATCAGTTCTTGCCGGTTGGCTGGATAGTGTGGTCGTTGTCGAACACGACGATCCATGAAGTCCCAGAGGTGTTCTATGGGGGACATGTCGGGTGAGCGTGCAGGCCACGGCAGGACGTTGACGTTGTTGGCTGCGAGGAAGTTAGTGACAATTCTGGCTGTATGGGCTCTAGCGTTGTCGTGCTGATAAATGACACCACGTGGCTGCTATTGGAGAAATGGTAGGGCAACTGGACGAAAATGTTATCCATGTAACACTGAGCTGTGAAGTTTCCGTCAACGATGACCAGCGGTGTCCTCTCCTGCCCACAGATCCCTCCCCACACCATGACACTCCCTCCACCATATGGTACGACCTCCTGCACGCAACACGCCGCCGTTCGTTCACCCCTTCGGCGGTAAACACGTTGTCTTCCATCAGCCCTAAAGATACAGAATCGACTTTCGTCAGTAACGACAACCCTCTGCCAGTCACGTCGTTGCCAACGTCGTACAGTCCGGGCCCATCTCAATCGCAGACGACGATATTGCGCTGTCAATAGCTGTCCTCTGTATGGTCTAAAAGCTCTGATTTCAGGAGCCCTGAGTCTCCTGGCCACTGTGTGTCGACTAACCCTGTGACCTAAGGCATTTGTCGCCTATGACGTCACTGTCAGGAAGCGATTTCGGAGGTGCAAGGTACGCAAGTACCGGTCATCATTGGGCGTGGTAACGGCAACACGGGAACAAACGAAGGTTCGTCCAATATGGGCGTGGGTCGCTCCCATCTGTACCATACCCAAGCCTTGTTCACGTTGATGGACTGTGAGTCGTGGCATTTCTTTTGTGTTATTTTATCACTGCGGATGTCTGACTGGCCGTTGCAATCGTTTTATACCCTTACCCGCACGTACATTTGCAGTTGTCAGTGGTGCACGTGTTTTTCATTTTTTCGCGTGTTATCTCGCAAACATGTAAAGGAGGACTAACATTTTCTGCATACACTGTTGTTGTATTTAGGTCATGTGTTTTAGATTGACTTCATCGACGAAAATTATACTTTGTCTGAAATTTATATTTTCAGTTGGTAAAGTTTCCTTTGGACGTCAGTTTATTTAGAACAAAGAGGTTGTAAAACAAGCAAGTTATCAACAGTAGAGTAGTTCGGCCGGAACCCTACTTGAGAATCATTTACTTCCATACATATTCATACAGCCATACATAGCCTTCATTAATTTATTTATTTACTTTTTGTCATTATTCTAATTAAGCCTTTACGGCATCAGCATACAAATTAGAACTGAGAAAAGTCTTGCTAAACATGGTGAATTTCCTCTCAGGATCGATCTGGGTGATTACGAGAGAATCAGTGTGTTTCTTATAGTTTGGCTCATCAGAAATATCAACGGCTTGACAATTAGAAGGATTGGCGTTCGTATCCAACATTGAAACATATGTCTCAGGTGCACAGTCCAAAATGAGACATAGAAGTGAATGGGTCAAAACGCCTACATTTGACATAAAAACATCCATTGGGCGGGGTTGCCTTTGATTTTTTTATCGACATTAGATAGTTTCCAGCTACAGCTACGAACAAAACCACATAGATTATTTTAAAGAAAAACGCCTTGCAACAATGTATATTTGGTGGGGGAATTTTCTTTCTTTTTTTCAACAGTCTGAAGCATAATATTTTTTTTTAAAGAATTTTCGGGGTCAATTAATTTTTTTCGATTAATTCACACTTTTTATTGTGTTACATTCCCACTGAAACTACAAGGCTGAAAACGGTGATGAAACTTTGTATGAATGATCCCACCTATGGTGTATCTAAAACTGCTCACAAAATCCTCACCGGCTTTAACATGGCCCATTTATTTCAACTCAATCCAGGTGAGCTACAGTGCCATCCTGATGCTTGTATATAAAACATTTATTTTGATTTTCAGAGGACATATCAACAGGGGATCCAGAACTCCACCATATCAACAGAAAGTGTACAATTAAGACAAAATGGTTGCTTGTCAAAGATCATATATTAATTGACTAATATGTACTTTCAAACCTTCGAAATGAAAATAAATTGATCGTGGAGCAATTTGCTTTCTGTCTTCAAAACGATAAAATAAATCAAGACGGTATTACGTTTCTTGTATCTGACTTGTTCTCTGATAATATATGTATCATTTAGAACATTTGGTTCGGATGACAAACAGATGAAGTATGATACATTAGCATTGCAGCTGAGTTTTCTATGGGTTCATGACGTGCTGTTCTTAAAGTGTAGATATCATGAAAAATAGCAATAGACTTTTCGTACATCATTATGTAGCAAGTGTGATGTACGTTACGATGGCCGAGAAAATCAGCGTGAATGTAAACTTAGCGATATTGCGCATAATTAAACGTACTTATTTTGAGGTCAATATTTGTAACAACCCGCGAATCTTAACGGCGATAACGAGGGGGCGTGGTTTAAATAGCACGGCCGGCTAGGCCTGCAAACTGATTGGGTATTACCACCAGCCGGTACAGAATATACGCGACCGTTTCAGTAATTGTGTCATGAGTATGGCTGGTAGGGGGGTGTCAACCAACCTTGATTTAACATCTATTATATAATCTTAACATTGCAAAATATTTTCAATTTTAGGAGCGTGGGATCCATCCACCCCCTTCTACTCAATACGTGCCTTTATACCTGCTAATCTACCAGAAAATTATTTGTCTCGGTGTTGTCCCGAAGTCTAAAATAGACATAATTTTGATATTCGAGAGTTCAGTGATGGTCATGGGTTTATGAATTCAAATATGTTCGAAAGTTCGGTGTCGGTTGAGGATCAATGCACCAAGTGAGTGAGTGAGTGAGTGAGTATGGTTTTACGCCGTTTTCCAGCAACATCACGGCGGGGGACACCAGAAATGGGCTTCACACATTGTAGCCATGTCGGGAATCGAACCCGGGTCTTCGGCGTGGCGAGCAAACGCTTTAACCACTAGGCTACCCGACCGCCTTCAATGCACCAAGTACTTAAGACATGTCGGTGCTGTGTAGAAAACAAGACATATACATTTTGCCATCGTTTAATTAAATGAATGATCTCCTCTGTCCTGTCTGGAAGTAACATGTCGTGTGAGTGAGTTGGGTTTAACGCCGCTTTCAACAGTATTCCAGTTATATCACGGCGTGCCAGCTGAATGTGGGAGGAAAGCCCGAAGTGATGCAGGTCTCAGACGTTTACCACTTCGGTGACACCCACGAGCACGGGTATGGTGCTGACAAACCTAGAAACATAATCGGGGCGAACCGGGATGCGAACCCACAATCATAGGTTTCTGGCGTGCTAAAGGGACGCAACTCTGCACAGCGAATCGCGACGCCTGAGACGACTGGGCCACCCCTGCCCCCAGTCCAACCAAGATATAACTCCGACATTCCAGCCTTGTTCGTCATAGTGGAGACTGGACTTTTATAGTTAGTGAGCTCCCTTGCCTGGTGTAGGTGGGTAATGACGTCTCCAAGGAAGAGATCAAGACGGGAATACTGCCACTTGGGAACACAAGCAAATATTACTATATTATTGTGAGTTCGTTTGTTTGTTTGTTATTTAACGCCGCACTCAGCAATATTCAAGCTATATGACGGCGGTCTGTAAATAATAGAGTGTGGACCAGACAATCCAGTGACTGACATCAAGAGCATCGATCCACGCAATTGGGATACGATGACATGTATCAACCAAGTCATCGAGCCTGACCACCCGATCCCGTTAGTCGCCTTTTACGACAAGCATAGTCGCCTTTTACAGCAAGGATTGGTTGCTGAAGAGCTCTTCAACCCCGGATATTCACGGGTCATATGTTTCAGTGAGTTTTAATACTGGTTGGTGATTACATTACGATAGAGACAATGTGTGCATGTCCCATAAAGAGACAAAGATACTCTACTGTAACACTACGTGCAGACCTTCGATAAGCTGCAAGTGATGACTGGTGGTGTGGTGAAACGCTTTCTTGTGACAATCGTGGGACGACACCTGAAGGGAGGCAACTCTTGTATCCAAAACGCGTTAAAATTAGTGAGGCTAACGAGTGAGTGAGTTGGGTTTAGCTCCGCGTTTAACATTATTCCAGTTATATCGCGGCGCCTCAGACGACGGGGCCACCCGTGCCCCCCAAACTAGTTTTAAAACTAAAAACTGTTATATATTACTACTTGTTATACTGTCCTTCGATGAGTGTTATATAATATAGATTACATAGGTATAACGTATTCAAGTCACGATATGGCTGAATTATTGCCGATGTCGCTTAAGTTTAACCTACTCACTGTAATAATAGTCATCATTTGTTGCACATGACTGGTCGCTTTCTGAACTGAGACTTTCTAAAGGGCAGCCTACTGTATAGACAAGGTTAGGGTTGTTTCCACAATTGTTGGACCACTATTGTTCAACTACCCTGTACTTTATCATTGAATATGAAGAAGTATTTCCACAATAGCAAACATTATCTTCTTGGTCAACTGGACCATAACTTATGTTAAAAAAATCAATTACAAAATGAAATATTTCTTTCTTTAAAACTATAAGCCTGAATGTTATTTTTAAAGCCAGGCAGTGTCACAACAAGACCCGTGAAGGGCCGGGGTACAAAATGTCTTCAGCAGCCCGTATTTGCCGTAAGTGACGACTATGCTCGTCGTAAAAGGCGACTAACGGGATCGGGTGGTCAGGCACGTTGACTTGGTTGATGCACGTCATCGTATCCCAATTGGGTGGATCGATGCTCATGATATCAATCACTGGATTGTCTGGTCCTGACTCAATTATTTACAGACCGCCGTCATATAGCTGAAATATTGCTGAGTGCGGCGTTAAACAACAAACAAACAAACAAACAACAACAACAAATAACGTCTTTTAACGTATTTTGCTATGACACGGCTGGGGATTGAACCACAGACGTTCCACTCTCCGGGCAGACTCTCTGTGCAAAGGCAATAGACAAAGGAGGGACGCGACGTTAAACCCTATTTCACTTCGAATAATTGCGGATCTGTATATTAATGCATATGAGTTGGAATTTCTGTTCTGAATGGCAAAATCAGAGCACGCCAAGAATCTTAACTTATCATTTTGATATATCGATGGCCTGATATTGTTGAAATATTTTTTAATAGCCCATTCCCTTTCAATGATTAAAACACCTGGACTAGAAATAAAAGAGACCAGTGACATCGTTTCATCTGTTTCCTATTGACTCTTAGATACACCCATCACGATGGAACAACATATCCGCAAGATACAACTGCCAACTTTTCCTTCATGTCAAGCAATATGTAAGCAGCTTTCGCCGTTGGCATGTAAATTTCACAACAAATGAGGTACAATCGTGCATACGATGTACTTCGTTGCTAGAAATGTATTTTAATGTTTTATCTGATGATATAAACAATGTCATCTCTAGATCCATTAGCACACGCTTTGTTAGCCTCACTGGTGGCACGGGTGGCCCAGTCGTCTAAGGCGCCGCGATTCGCTGTGCAGAGTTGCGTCCCTTGGGCACGCCAGAAACCAATGATTGTTGGTTCGACGCCCGGTTCGCCCCGATTATGTTTCTAGGTTTGTCAGCACCATACCCGTGCTCGTGGGTTTCACCGAAGTGGTAAACGTCTGAGACCTGCATCACCTCGGGCTTTCCTACCACATTCAGCTGACACGCCGCGATGTAACTGGAATAATGCTAAAAGCGGAGCTAACCCAACTCACTCACTCGTTAGCCTCACTAATTTTAACGCGTTTTGGATACAAGAGTTGCCTCCCTTCAGGTGTCGTCCCACGATTGTCACAGGAAAGCGTTTCACCACATCACCAGCCATCACTTGCAGCTTATCGAAGGTCTGCACATAGTGTTACAGTAGAGTATTTTTGTCTCTTTATGGGACATGCACACATTGTCTCTATCGTAATGTAATCACCAACCAGTATTAAAACTCACTGAATTATATGACCCGTGAAGATCCGGGGTTGAAGAGCTCTTCAGCAACCAATCCTTGCTGTAAAAGGCGACTATGCTTGTCGTAAGAGGCGACTAACGGGATCGGGTGGTCAGACTCGATGACTTGGTTGGTGCATGTCATCGTATCCCAATTGCGTGGATCGATGCTCTTGATGTCAGTCACTGGATTGTCTGGTCCACACTCTATTATTTACAGACCGCCGTCATATAGCTTGAATATTGCTGAGTGCGGCGTTAAACAACAAACAAACAAACGAACTCACAATAATATAGTAATATTTGCTTGTGTTCCCAAGTGGCAGTATTCCCGTCTTCATCCCTTCCTTGGAGACACCATTACCCACCTACACTAGGCAAGGGAGCTCACTAACTATAAAAGTCCAGTCTCCACTGTGACGAAGAAGGCTGGAATTTTGGAGTTATATCTTGGTTGGACTGGGGGCAGGGGTAGCCCAGTCGTCTAAGGCGTCGCGATTCGCTGTGCAGAGTTGCGTCCCTTGGGCACCCCAGAAACCTATGATTGTGGGTTCGACTCCTGGTTCGCCCCGATTATGTTTCTAGGTTTGTCAGCACCATACCCGTGCTCGTGGGTGTCACCGAACTGATAAACGTCTAAGACCTGCATCACTTCGAGCTTTCCTCCCACATTAAGCTGACACGCCGCGATAGAACTGGCATATTGTTAAAAGCGGCGTTTGACCCAACTCTCTCACTAAAACTAGTTTTAGAACATCCAAAAGATCATACTAATATCAAAAGGGGCTATGCATCACCAACAACTAAAGATGTCCATGGGAACGTACATTACTTCTTCTACCTGCAGGTACCCCAGCAGGATTTTCACCATCCCTTTAGTTGCTGGCGATAGTTTACAAGTTTAGCCAGAAATAAAAATGACGAATATAATACGTTTAAAAGTCTGGCATACACAGAACATGTTGAATAGCGTGGAACGTACGTACCCTGTTAGAGGGGAAATCATGTTACGTCACTTCATGATATGACATGGAGCACTGACTCAAAGGTCACCGTAAGATAACATTAGTGTGCCGGAAGCAAAACGTATTTTCTTAGATA